AAAACAAAGCGAAACAATAAACTTACGACTACAAAAGTAATAACACTCTTGTCACTAACTGCAATATAAAAGTATTAATACTATAATAGTGTTATTACTTTTATAACGCACTTAGGTATTGTCTTTAAGTTACGCAACGCTAAATTTATATAATAAACTAAAGTCTAAGATCTTAAGCTGATTTACGCGGTGATTTACGCGGTGATTTACGCGGTGATTTATATGAGTTCCTGGTGTTTTTAAGGTTACTTAAATATCCAATTTTTTCTAGATGCTTTTCTACTTCAATTAAAATTTAGTATTACTTATGTTGTTTAAAAAAAGAATGAATTATTAAAGTTGTTTCACTTATATACTTTACAAAAAAGTTTTAAAGTTTTCCCTCGCAGAACCTTAACGTATTTAACATACGTTAAGGTTCTGCGAGGGAAAATATCGAAATTGCGCATTAAGTTTAAAGAAAGGCGTTCTTTAAACTTAATGCGCTATTTCGATTTTTAACATACGTTAAGACTCTGCGAGGGAAAACTTTAAAACTTTTTTGTTAAGTATATTTGTGAAACAACTTTAATAATTCATTCATTTTTTAAACAACATAAGTAATACTAAATTTTAATTGAAGTAGAAAAGCATCTAGAAAAAATTGGATATTCAAATAACATTAAAAATCTCAGAAACTTATATAAATCACCGTGTCCAGATGAGATACATCCCAGAATATTAAAAGAGACCTATCATCAAATCTCCAAACATTGTTCTATTATTTATACTAAATTACTTCAAACTAGTACATTGCCACAAATCAGGATGGATGCAAATATTATACCAATTTAAAAAAAAAAGAGACAAGAAACTAGTTGCAAATTATAGACTCATTAGTTTAACATGCACCATAGTCAAAATATTTGAAAAAATAATACAAAAAGGTATTTTTACTCATCTGTTAAAAAATAATCAGCTCCTAGTCAGTTGAAAATATAATCAGAAGAGCATTTAAATTAGTTCATGGATTACAAAGTCTTACGTATCACCAAAGACTATTAAAAATTTATATGACAATCATAAGATATGGATTAAATAATCGTCTATAAATGGTTAAATAACAGCTACAACTGTCAAACGATCTTTCTAAAAATAATTATAAATTCTATTACAAGAGAACATTCATTTAAATTAGAAAAACCTTATTGTCGTCTAGCTTCTCGTCCATTTAACGAGTAGTCAACATATGGAACTCCCTCCCAGAGGATGTTGTAAATGCGTCATCTTTAAGCAATTTTAAAAACAAACTAGACAATTATTTAAAAGAAGAAATAAGAAGTTATGAATAATATATTTCTAAGGCAGTTTGACAGACATTCATGCGTATACAAATCCGATTTGTAAACCTTATAAAATAATAATAATAGTAATAAATACGCTTTTAAAATAAAATAAACTTTTAAAAAATGTTTAGCATTTCCAATATGTAACTGTGTAAGTATAAATGGTCCGTAAAAACGCGCGTTAATTTTAAAATGAACCAATAAAATATTTTTATTGGTTAATTTTGAAATTAAGGCGACCATTAGTAATAAAAAATATATATCAAATATATAATCACGAGGTATTGTTGGAAATATTTTTAAATTGAAAAAATATTTTTTACATAAAAGAAGAAAACGAATTATTCTAGATTATTATAAATCAAACTAGTTAATAGTGGTGTGCCATTGGTAACCTTTTTAATATTTGTTTTTAATATTTATCATTGAGTTTCCTGATAATATTCAAAACTATATCAAGTTGTATGTAAAATAATAAACATTATAAAAACAGCTGATAAATAGTATAAAACTGCAGATCTAAGTTATCTTATGGAGTGGTCATTGGTTAACAAAATTCAATTATGATAAATGCAAGGTCATACATTATTAGATTAGATCATACATTATTAGATTAGGTTAGATCATATGTACCATATGATCTAACATGCTCCCCATTTGAATCAATAAGTTGCGGAGTTCCACAAGGATCAATACTTGGACCTTTATTGTTTTTAGTTTATATCAATGATATTTTTTTGTCTTCAAAAATACTTAATTATACTATTTTTGCTGATGACACTAATGTTTTCTTTTCTGACTCAAATTTAAAAAATATTTTTTATTATGTAAACGCTGAACTAATATATCTTAATGAGTGGTTTATAGCAAATAAACTATCATTAAATATTGAAAAAACTAAATATATTTTGTTTGCTAAACCATCTCAATCCCAGAACCTTCCACTTAAACTTCCAGAACTAACAATTAACAATATTAAAATAAAAAGAGTTTTTTCAATGAAAATACTAGGAATAAATTTCGATGAACATTTAAATTGGAAAAGCCAAATAAAGTTAGTCGAGAACAAAGTTTCAAAGACTGTGGGGATTATGTACAGGACAAAACATCTTTTGAATAAAATATGTTTAAAAAACTTATACTTTTCATTTATACATAGTCATATTAACTATTGTAATATTGCCTGGGCAAACAATCATTCATCTTTCCTAAAAAATATTTATACTAAACAAAAGCAAGCAAGTCGATTAGTTTTGGGCGCAGATAGGTTCGAAAGTGCCAAGCCGTTACTCAAGGAAATTAATGCGCTAAACGTATACGAACTAAATATATACCATAACTTGTTATTTATGTTTAAACTTCAAAATGAACTAATTCCAAAATATTTTTATAAAGGTTTCTCTCTAATTAACCATAAATATGAAACAAGACACTCAATAAATAATTACTACATCCCACCAACATCACTCAAAAAATCTGACTTCTCAATTACATGTCGGGGGCCACGCTTGTGGAAGTCAGTTCTTGACGAAAATATGAAAAAAATAAAATCTATTGATATATTCAAAAGAACTATAAAAAAAACACTTACTAAACTCAAACATTACATACATTCTTTCATTTTTTTAAAAATAATATTTTTTTGATAAATTTGATAAAAAGCTTTTTTTTTTTTTTTTTTTTTTTTTTTATATATATATATACATATATATCTTTCTTGTTTGATTTTCTCTTTGACTGTTTTTTTTTTTAACTTTTTTTAATAAATACTAACAAATGAATTTAAATCTACATAACGTTTGGAATCTTTTTAATATATAAATATTTTTGAATATATACTTCGCTTTGTATTGAATATGTATACGTATATGTACTGATTTGTAAAAAAAAAATTCAAACTTTTTAATTTACGCATTGTATACATTTTTATTTTTTTATTTCGAGATTTTATTATTATTATTATTATTATTTTTTTTTCTTTCTAATTTTTACTTTTTTTAATTTTTAATTTATTTTAAACTTTTTAATTTTTTTCAATCTTTTTACTTTATTTCAAACTCTTTAAATTTTTTTATTTTTATTTTAATTTTGTTTGAATGTTTGTTTATTTTTTCAAAATTTTTAATTTAACTCTTTTTTATATTATTGGAATTTTAGAAATTTTATATTTCTCTATTTCACAAAAGGGCTTGATGATAAGACTTTATGTCTTCTACTTGCCCCTGTCAGCTTGTAATTATATATATATTTATTCGAATTTAAAGATAACATTGTAAAATGTGTAAAACGACAAAATAAACTAAAAAAAAAAAAAAAAAAAAAAAAAAAAAATACATATTAAAAAAAGTACTCCTCAAACCATTTATATCATTTATATCATTTATATCATGATTCTGATGAAAATCAAGATTAATACAACGATTTATATTTATTTATATTACAACTGCAAGAGCATGATTTAATCCAGTTGGATCCGGTAATTCAAAAATAAAGACAATTATGATTTTGTTAATTGGATTCATAAAAATTTACGATTAAAATTTTAACCTCAAAGCATTATCAGCACAAATTCATTTTGAATAAATCCTTTTGTAAAACGAGTATAGATATAACTTTTTCTCCAATAAAGTAATTAACCACGGAATAGCTTGACAAACGAAATCAAAGAGACTGACTCAATCGATAATAAAAATCTATAATACATCTTTTTTTTTTTTTTAATATCTTCACTTCCAACAAGTCTGCAGGCAACCACTATTAGATTTGGAAGTTACTGAAAGAGAAAAGATGAAGTTTATAGAGCAAGATACGATTACCAGACACCTTAAAAGATTGCAAACCATATGAATCAGGAAAACAAAATAAAGGAAGCGGATTCCAAAGAAGTAATGTTCGAGGAAAAAAACTAGACAAATATGAATTTTTGGAGCGCTTTTTTAGGTACAGTCACAGTAAAAGGATGAGACTTAATTGAATGACGAGAAACACGAGAAAGAATTTAAGTATATGACACAAGAGACACTAGCTCTTCAGAGCAAAGCCTATTATAGTAGTTATAGAAAAGAGAAAGAGAGTTATGTTTAAAATGCGTTTATGCACTTAGTCTACAAGAGAAAGGGTATGATTGTAAGATCCGCCCTAGATATAACTACAGTATTCCATAAAAAGACGGAATTGAGATTTATAGAGTTAAAGAATAGAATCCTGAGTAAGAAAGTGGCAAGCACGATAAAGAGATGCAACCTTATATTAAAATATATTAGTCATTAGAAATGTCGAGACTAATAACTTTAACTTCTCCACAAGGCCAGGGCAATGGAGGGAGAGGGGTGTGTGTGATACCCATCAATGATTTTTTTGTTCATATAGTTGGACAAGTCAGTCGGTAAATGTAGACACTTTTAGACAAGTCAGTCGGTAAATGTAGACACTTTAGACAAGTTAGTCGGCAAATGTCGACTAGGCAGTCGGCAAATTTTACAAAATAAGGATCATTTTTTTTATTTTTATTTTAGTCGGCAAAAGTTGTAATCGCACCTCTTTCCCCTCCCCCCCCCCCACCCTCAAGTGAAATCTACTCGCGTCGGCCCTGCCTCTCCACACCTAATCTAATGCACGATAAAATCTATCGGTTATTACAGTTAAAAAATCAGCAGTAGAACAAGAAGATCGAAA